CTCTCTCTCTCTCTCTCTCTCTCTCTCTCTCTCTCTCTCTCTCTCTCTCTCTCTCTCTCACACACACACACACACACACACACACAGAGAATGCTTCATTTTTTCGCCGCAGCGCCACAAAAACCGCGTACCCCAAATTCGACTTCCCGCGCAAGGGCATGATGGAAAGATGCATGCCCGTCATGACGGCATATCAGGCAGGGACGGTGAAATGGGACCCGTTGTCCGGTAAGGTCATCCGAAAAAGTTGCCCCCTCACTGGCAGGGGACTGCAGAAAAATTCTCAGGCCCCAGGGGCAAATCAGGGTAAGTAGGCCGTGGGAGAGGTATTTCGAAATTAATTGAAACTTCCAGGGGCATTTCGAAAACTCTTCATAAATATTTTCAGCTGTGTTTTTTATTTTTTTAATACCCCCGGAGGGGGGGGGGAGGTGGGAGGTGGACGTAGTTCCCGTACCTGCAACTTTTTTTTTTTTTTGGGACCCCCGTTTTGATGAGTGCGGCCCACAGTGCGCGCGCACCATGCGCTTTGCGCTGTGCGGCGCATGTGCGCGAAGCAGCGCATCTCGATGCGCCGCATGTATGCAAAATACAAATTACTGGACAGACAGCGAGCATAACGGGCACCGAATGAGTTGGACCCGAATCTGATGCATGGCTATATCCTGCAATACCGGCAAATAGATTTACAACTCACTTTTCACTGTCATATACAGCGAGCGATGCGAATAATTGTTCGGGAGATCTGTGGTGAAAAAATATACCAGCCGTACGACTAAAGTTTTCCGACACATCAATCATCGTCGTCATCGTCAAATTTGATTTTCTTTCCAGCCGCAACATTCAGCTGCACCGCCTTCTTCAGCTGCTCAATCTTGGCGATCCAAGAAGGATGAAGTTTTTCGTTCTTCTTCTCCGGCTCATTCTTTCCCCGACCCTTCGCCGGAAGACGCCGCTCGTCCGAACCATGAGCAATCATCTGCTCTTTTTTCTGCGCTACACCGTTCGAACTCCTCCGGGAGAAGTCTCCACCCTTTCCTCCTGACTTCGGCTCTACCCTCCCCACCTTTCCTCTGCCAGCACCCGGCGCAGATCCACCTGTTTTCAGTCTGCCCCCTTTCACATGCAATGAACCGGCAGCAGCAGCAGCAGCAGCACTTACTTCCCTGCCTTATGGACATAATATCACCCATTGTTCAGTCCATCAACCTCAGCCCGATATACTATGGCTGTCACCCATCAATAGGAGTGGTAGCGAGACGTCATATATACTCAGACTGTGCTCTTTCAGATGTGCGCCCAGCATTCAGGCATGGATGGTACATGTCAACACCAGGAGGCAACGCTGCTAGCTGGGTTTCTAAGGGAATGTTCTCTAGGGATTGTTTTGTGAAGACGATATGAAACACATAGATCTGCTTCGGTTGGCCTCTAACGATAGTGCAAACCCAGGTGTTTGCAGCATCTGATTAAATGTTTTAAGCATCTTTGCAATATGCCAATATCCAAGTTCACCCGGGCCAATTTGGCATGTCTTGTCGTTTCCCGCCGCTCGATCACACAGTGACTGATCAGTCGGCTACCAGCTATCCTATAACCCAATCTCCCAGGCTTTTGAACCTGGAAACATTGCTGAACAGGTGGATGGATGGATGGGTGCCCTTGATTCAGAGCAGATTTGATACAGTTCCCATCTGTTATGTTCTTTTCCGCCGTAGTAGCCAGCCCAGTGCCACTTATCTTTTTGCTCCCGCCTGGAGTAGTGGGCACTGCTAACATTGCTGAACAAGCGGGAGCTCTCCAGTGCTCATCTAGAGACAGCTGCCGTCTGTGCGCCCACTCATTGGTTTTCATAATCACTTGGGAGTAGTAGCACCTTTCCTGTGCACACCGCTCCAAGTTTTATCTTTATCGCCAGGTCTCGGTCGTATGTTCTGGTTGCATCTGGATTCGAACTCCGGTCTGTATTTCGACAAGTGGTAGCTGTCCTGTGCTCACCACTCGAAATTATTATCAAAACAGGAACAAGTATTTTTGGCATGGCTACGATCCGATCGCAGTGCGGATGGTCTGGGTCCGGTGTCGAATCCAAAGCGTCTGGATGAGGCCCCCCACAAGGGAAAGAAGAATCCAACTTAAACACAAAAAACAAAAAAAAATCAAAAAAATGATAAAATCTCTGAGTACGGACGCCGCCCGGCCGGGCCTGCCCGGCCGGGCGGGCCCCGGGCAGGTCGCCCGGGCAAACCGGGCGGGCCAAATAACAGCCCAAATTTTTTTTTTTTTTTTTTTTGAG